TTGGGAGTTTGTCGATGATGTCATATGGAGAAATTATTTCCTTGTCTCAACACGGACACTTTCAAAAGCATGCAATGCTCGCGTCACCATCGATTATAAAATGTGAGCCACCGAACGGAACGCAGGTTTGAGACTATCTCCTAATCTATATCATCAATGTCAAGCGATTCTTCGGCACAAAAGATTCATCACTTACAAGTCACTAGAAAACCGTTTTCAAAAATGCAGCTTTACTTTTCTTTTCGAGAATGGAATATTTTGTCCCAGATCTTTTACACCAATGTTGACTGTCGAAATACGACTTACTAACAGGCAAAAATGAGGATGTGCAAATTCACGGTGAACGTGTTACGTGTTTTCACCCTCCTCGTAAGCAGACACGGCATAATTAGCTTGAAAAAAGGAATAACTCGAAATAATTACGCGGTTGTAATTCGTATCACGTTAAACACCACCACATCGGAATACATAAAGATCAAATTCAGTCCATTGTTCAGTTCCTCAGAATAGCAAAAGTACTGGTAAAATCACTCGTTGTTGATAATATCTTTCGAATTCGTGGCCATTTTCATTTCTCCACCCAAAATATCAAACAATACGGGAGAAAAATTGATGGACAATGTTTTTTCATCTGAATAATTTCGTTTGCAGGTGACCAGCTATTTTATGGTACTGGATCAGAGCTCTTCGTTTAGGTTTGAGCAATACTTTGCCAAACTGAGTGTCGAAAACAGCGGAAACCGTTTTTACCACACGTGGAGAACTAAAACATCCTATTATAGTCGATAATTTGCGAAACGTCGATCCAAGAACCAAAACACGAGGGATATACATCTCAAGTCACTTTTATTTATTTGATTAGAGGTTGCCTTTTTTACGGGTTCTTCAGTCAAGAATGCTTTCGATGTCGTACACATCGTCGTCTTTTTAGTCACTCGTTGTAACTCAGGCAAGTAAAAAGTCTCTTTTAACACTTCGCTGTTCATGTCTTCTAATTTATAGACGGAAGGATGGCGTCAAATAACTTTTGTCGAAGATACATTTGGTTTTTCCAATGAGCACCCACTTTCCCGTCGCTAACATGCCACGTTTCTTGGGAGGCTAAAGGGACGTTTCAAACAAGCGCTTAAACATGGTCACTTTGTTGTCGGGGATAACTGATTCTTGAGTGCATCCGATGATCCAATGGTAAGCTGGACCATACGTGGTAAGACATCAATGTACTTAAGGCTGTGTTGATGCGTAAAATATTTCCATATGCGTTCTTTTAAAGTGCGTTAAAAACGCTGAAGTATTTGTTTTTGAAGATTCTCCGTGCTAAAGTAACGGATGTCCCTTTTCTTCAATTCATTTTGGAAAGATTGTTTCAGAAATTATGTGTCTTTGACTATTTTCTATCGGATATGGTGACGAACGCTTTGTTTCAACACCAGTTTTAAGACTTACACCAAGTCGCAGCTCGTTTTGGAGGTCAAAGGCATGACCAGGCGAACTTGGAAACGACATCGATGACGCAAAACAAATATTTGTAGCAGTGGTTGTACGCGGTCAAATGAGAGACATCGGCTAAATCGGCTTGCCATTGATGATCGATGCTCTTCACTTTGGTTCGACTTGTGGGAAGATTTTGTTGAATGGATTTGAACACGTGGCGTGTTCTTGTAAACATCGTTGCATCTAGTGCCAGTGTGCACTTTTTTAGTTTAGGTTTGGCAGCGTGATGAAATTTTTGAACTCCGTAGTAACTCACAGGATGGGTAGCATTGTAGTAAATGCTGACTTAAGGATTCTCCATCAGGTTTATCTTCAAACAGGCACCAACTGTTCATTGATGCTAATCTTGTGGCATGGAAACTGCTTGACGTATCCGACATGTCACAGGAGTAGGAGCCGATGGTATTAATGGTGGAAAAGGGATCACTTCCACTTGCATTCTATTTTCATTTCATGCTTCCCTTCTTTCCTTTTCACTTCTATCGAAGAAAAGGTTGACACACTCTTTTTAGCCCAAGCTTTGGGCTCTTCTCGTTGGGGAGTGGAGAAAGGGGTCAACAAGGACATTGCGGTCTAAATGGGGATTAATGCCGATGGTATCCGTGTGGATACGCTTTATTGTCACCTCTGGGGTGGTAGTGATGATTGGCTTTTCATCAAGATCTCGAATCTTTCTGAGTCGGTTGAACTGTTTCGTTCAAAACTTTCTGACGAAAGAGTTGATTACTTTGCAAAACTTAACTGTACCGTTATGATTGTGTTATTTCTCATAAATCGGTGCGATGCTTCAACGATTTTATTTCGTTTTGTAACTGCGTCTGTCTATGCGACATTATAGTTGGGAGGTAAATGAGGAATCCTGTGTTCTTGCCAACGATGGAATTCCATCCATCTTCTGTAAGGCACCAAAGTCCTTCCATGAAATTTCAAAGTATACGTTTGACGTCTTTCCATGAGTTGTCTAAATGCACGTATGACGTCTTTCCACAATAGTAGTCCTTTACATCCTCTTCTTCCTACTTATTTCTTGCCGCTGACTAAAACATGTCCACTAAGTCCTACACGCATGACAACGAAGGACCTACACGCATTCACTAACACACACGTACGTCATTCACGTCATGGATAAAAGGGATTTAAGTTTTACTTGATTTGGCAAACTTTGAATAGTCTCCCTTTTCTAGAGAGGTGGACGATCCTGAAAAGGACCGTTGGGTATTTGTGTGACAAATTTATGAACTGGACGCTAGGAGCTTCACTGCCGTATATCCTTGCCACAGCCAAGGCCTACGTCTTCCCTTGCTACTGTGAATAATTTGGTTTGGCAGTGATTGCTGCTGATGGCCTCTCATTGATAGTCAACGTAGAGGTAGCGATGAATCGGTTGGAATGTTTGACCTGGGAAGGTCTTTATCTCTTAGATCGAGTTAAAGAAGTCTGATAAATTTGCATCAGAATCGCAACACTGCCAAAATGTCAAGTAGCACCATCACCGTTGAATTTCACTGTCCTTCGTCCCTCCTTCGCACTTTCTCTTCTCTTCTCTTCTTCTTATTTCCTCTTGCTGCTGATGTTGGATGACAAGGCTTGCTCTGCTTCTTTCTGCAGTTGTAAATTTATGTCTGTCTCTGTCTATAGTGCAAGTCACACAGCTCGTGTATGTGCTCCAAGTCAGTTTTTGCAGCTACGGATGTCATTTTGAGGAATTTCATTACACATACCTTTAAATGGCATTTATTCTATTTGTTTTGCGTCATGTCCATCAAAATTCTGTTGAAAATTATTGTATAAATTCCGTTTTTTTTAAAAAAAAATGCAAAACGGCAAATTCAATGATAACGTACTTTGGTGTTTTGTCGCTCGCTATGATATAAGATGGAACGTGGCTGCGGTTAGGAAAAGTCCTGCATAAACGTAAAGAGATGCGTCACTATAAACATAACCTGGGGGGAAAAAAATCGGCACGCAAGTCCAGTATGTTGAGGCAATTATGTAACTTCGTATATATCTTCGGAATGGTATTTCATGTCTTGTATTTCATTTCATACATAAAACCTACTTTTCCCATACAAATAAGTTCCTTCTTAAGCGTAAAAGACAATAGAAACGCAGCTGTCAATTCAGATTTATTTTAGTTTAATTTTACATCATGCTAAATTATCATTTTGACGAAATATCATATGTACAAGTTAAGAATAAAACTTATATGTTACATTCATAGTTGAACATCCATACAGATAAATGAAGATACGCTAGACTTCTTGTTCACGCGATCGCACCTTAGTCCCCCCCCTCCTGCACTAGTAAGTTCAATCCAATATAGACTTTCGTGACTCTGCGGAATTGAGTTTGTAAATGTCCATAGTGATCGATAATTTTCGACTGCAAATTTTGTTATGACAATTCACTTGTTGATCAGTAAAAAATCACTATTGAATAAACTAAGGTCAAATTTTTAAAATATAATTATTTGTTAAATTTATATACATGTCCCGAAAATGGGATAATTCTTTATTAAAGTCATTCACTTCTCTGAGGTTAGCCATGGTTGTTTTGGATGCAGCCATGATGCAGCCTCGCATCTTACTCAGGTGGCGCTCACCAGTTATTATGTACTTTTGAGAGAGTGATGTATGTAAGGTGAAGTTGTTTGCATTTTAAACATGCACAGTATAGAGAATGTTGGCATACCTATAAACTACTTTTATGTAATGTGAATGAAATTTCTTTGGATATTGTACTTTTGGAAATTTTAAATGATCTTAGGACACTGCTAACTAAAATGACTGCTCCCTTGTGCTCCAAAAATCAACCTGAATTTGTCTAAAGTACACTATTCTTGGCAGCTATTAAAATATGGAAAATGAATTTTGCCAAACTAGACAATACCAGCTGCTAAAAGTGCAATGACTGAATTACCAAATACATAAAATGTAAAAAAAAAAAAAGTTATCGGCTCTATTTTTTACAATTGACCTCTGAAGTTCGAGAAGTGAAAATGAGCAAGTAGAGCTAGCACTTTTTTGAAAGGTGCACATCTGGAGTAAGGCCAAGCTGTATACTCTCTAACCCATATTACACCCATCAATCATACATCAAAATAAAGAGAATTAAAGGTTCTTTGAACAATACCTAAGATATACAAAGTCTCTTAAATAGCCAGTATAACTAGTGAGGAAACCCGGGGAAACTTTTTTTTCTTTAAAATTCTAACCCTATGCTAAATACGAAACTGTAGAGCGTCACCTCAGGTGCACCCCAGTAATATTGTATTCTTATATTGGTGTGGCACCTCTCAGTCTCCGTCATAGAGAGGACCCCCAGTATGCCGAAAGATTGAAAAGGGTTTATGTATCTTCTGTAGTCTGTTGTTGTGGTTTTCAAAAAATAAAAAATAAAAAAATTGAATGAATTTTTGTGAAATTTGGAAATAGGATTTACCACACCGCCCTACTCTAGTCATCTTGGCTAGCCAAGGTTCCGAAAAGTTGCCCTATCTATGGACCGCTCGGGTGGCCTAGTGGTTTGAGCGTCAGCTTCGCATGCGGGAGGTCGTGGGTTCGATCCCCGGCCAGTGCTGCGTTAGATTCTGAGGAGACCCTTAGGCAGTCGAAATATCGGCTAACGAAGATGTACTCGAGTGTGATATTAGCCCTTCAACCCGGACTGGTTTCTGAGCGTTTACTTAATCAGTGATCCTTGCCTGGGATCTGTAGTGTACAGTGTATGTTATGCATGTATGCTATATTGCAATGTATGCTATCCATGTGTTTTTGTTTAGACTGGTTTGATAGTCAAAGTATAGTCTTGAAGTTGTCTTTGATCTTATAAGAACCTATATATTAAAAATAAAAATACATAACTCATTTATTGGGTTAGGGGCTAACATGTGATGGTGGCAGGTGGCTCAACTGTCCACTCACTTCCGATATAGTGACCGGTCTCTTCTTTCACATGATGTTACCTTTCCTAATTTTATTGTAAGTTTAACTGATAATGAAAATAATTAAAAAAAACCTATAAAAAAAGAAATATAATCTACATAGTATTTTGTGGAAGGTGGTAAATAGTGCATGATATACCTCCTGGTACATTTAGTAGTGTGTATTTGAATCTCCGTATTTGTATTTTCGTAATGATCTGTTAACTGGCCTTCCCTTTGGGGATATCAGACGTGATCTGTTGCACCTCGCTTTAAAAGCGTAACATAATCATCACATCATCATTCTCTCCTTACTCAGAAGGACCTGTCCCACTCTGTGTGTGTGCCTTTTGTACCTGCTTATGTTAAAGATATATTAATATCTACGAGGTACTGTAGTTTTTTGCTCGGATTAGTTTATTGGGTTTTTTTTATTTTCCTTTTAAAATCTCTGTCTGGACCGACTCTTCGCTCATCCCAAAAAAAAAAAAAAAAGACAAATAAACCCTCAAGATGAATCAAGGAGAGTCCTCGCCGCAGAGGGTCCACTCTTGGAATCAGTACACAATTAATAAAATCCGGTTCAGTACCCGCGAATGTAGTCTATTTTAGATCACCTTTTCCTGTATGAAATTGGTGGTGATACTAGAGTTATATTTTGGCATTCTTGGTAAGGATTTAAAGGCAATTGTTTATTCTTTAAAATGTGAGCTTATGGTGTGGTTGTCTGTGTGTATTTCGGCGACAGTGCACATTGAGTAATAAGGTCATGGTGATGATCCGGGTGTGAAATCTGTGTTCCGTTGCCTAGTGTTTTGTTTGCAATTCAGCCTCTCAAAAAAATGCAGGTCAACCCATGACAAGAACTAAACCGTCAAGTCATCTTTCAAGGTGTTTTAGATTAACATATGATTTGTATTGATTGTCACACAGTGGAAAGTTCAGTACTGAGAAACAAATGTAGAGAGAATATAGTAAAATTAATTGTGTTCTATGGCCTCTTGGGTATTCCCCCCTTCCGTGGGCACTACCTAATGGTCCTCCATGCATACCTCTCATTCTGCAGAAAGGTCTCACTGGATAGTTTCGTACTTTGACACACACACCCCTAATTTTTAAGGTAGCAGGCATGAGCCTGATTATCACAACCCTAGCATTTATAAATTCACACATAAGCTAAATCTGTAATGTGGTTTACATTTACTTTGAGTTAGGCTTGTAAATGGGTTGCCTTGTTGGTGACTGCCTGTCACATTTAGACTAGCACTGGAGATCAAATGCGTAACTTAGTCTGCAAATGTGCATCCGACTTGGCTTACGTATTTACATGTGTCTGCTTCAGAGGTAAATATCTAAAAATCTACATGGTTGAGGGGTGATGAAAAGTATGTTAATTTGTTATAGTACTAGTGAACTTTCAAGATCAATAAGGTACATACTGACTCTGTGAGCCTGCTTCTCACAAGAACAGATTCAAAATATCTCTTTTCTGTAAAAAATGAATGTAAAAAGAGGGGTTGGTGGTAGAATAGGTTCAGTGTCAAAACCACCAGTTGCATAAGGAATTAACCTTAATACCTTAGTCAGAATCTTACAAGCATCCTTTCAACAAAAATCATTAGTTAGTTTTTATTTGTATCTTTATTGTAAAATTATGATCATTTTTCTGCAATAGGTCATTGTCGGATGAAAATTTGGCAAAACAAGTCCGGTGAGACCAAAGGACGAGTCAGTCTAGTACTAATCCCTGATTATTTAAGGACCTTTAAGCTCTAACACAAATCCTGTCTTTTTTTAATAATTGTTGATATTGAATTAATAGTTCTGTATATATATATATATATATATATATATATATATATATATATATATATATATATATATATATATATATATATATAAAAAAATATATATATATAAAGACACACATATAAATATATATATATATATATATATATACATATATATATATATATATATATATATATATATATATATACATACATACATATAGAGAGAAATACATATATATATATATATATATATATATATATATATATATATATATATATATATATATATTACTCTCTGTTATTTCGTTCGTATAAAGATATTTAGAATCTACCTCAGCCCGATATTTTTTCACGTATTTTATTGGTAATTGTATATTTATCTTGTGCTATATTTAGACATCTCAAAATAATGTGACTCTTTGAGTCTGTGTGAGTCCTACAAGGTGAGACTGATTGAATTATATGTCTATTAAATGCCATCATTTATCATACCCGTATAGGAATATCCTGCATTGTATAGCTGTTTTTCCTATGCGTACCCATTTCTTTCATATACCCACCCCACCCCCAGTTTATATCATGATTACGTATATCTGTTGACAGCTTATCATTCAACGTATCTTCATGAATGAGTTTGTATGTTTTTATCATATTTATCCATTCATACTTATCCTTGTCTCTGAATGGTGAAAGTTAGTCGGTTTCATTCTGGTCTTAGACTATAAATGCCAGTTGCACGCCTTGTGAATTCACTCTCATATCAAAATGTGGATAAACTCTGAGTTTTCTACCCTGATTTTGAGAATGCTGTTCAGCCCGGACTACCCAATCTGTTTTTTTTTTTGGTTTTTTTTGTTGTTGTTTTTGTTTTTTTTTTCAGTACTGCACAGTACCATACCGCCAAATAAAGCGAGTGGTAGCAAAGGTGCCAAAAAGTAATTACCAAATCGGCATTGTAGTAAATTCAGTTTATTTATACAGATTGATTTTTTTTTTTCATTATGCCAGCAAACATTTTTATGTTTTCCTTTTCTCTTTCTTTATCGTTTCTTTTCCTTCATTCTCTACTTTTTTCCCCTTTCGTTTATCTTTTGTCAGTTTGTTTTACTTGAATTTTTCTAGATGCGTAAGTCTAACAACAGCGAGTATAACACTGTTATGTATATTTAATGTAATTGCTTGTTTGTTTATGTTATCAGTATATGACTCCACTCTTCGAGCCTGTATCAATTCTAGCTGTTAAGTAGGGACAGTTGACCAGTACATTAATCACAGCATTGATACCATTGATATCAGAGACTGTCATCAGGTTCAGTCCTGTTGTTTATCATCTCATGTCTGTGGATGTTAATTAAAATTCCTGAACTCTAAGCCTTACAAATACAAGAACATAGTGAGAAATCGGCCAGTTTTTTTAGTTGAGCTTGGTATTGTAAGCAACACTGATTTTGGATATACCTTTTTTTTACATAAAAGTTGCAGGACCCTTACTTCGTGTTTGTGTGTCATTTGAACCCGAATATAGGTTTAATTTTTTTAATTTTTAATTTTTAATTTCATTACATGCTATTGTATTGTAACATCGTATGTTTGAATTGACTTGAGTTCATTTCTACTTGATCTGATTGACTTTTTGGAGAGAAAAAAATTATATCATTTTATGTAAGCAACAAATAATAGCTTCATTATTCTCTATTTTAATAAATTTAATATCAGGATTTATATTCAGGTAAATAAGAAGGAGTAGATATGTTTATTTGGAGTTAGGGTTATGGAGTTTCCTAAGTGAATTTTACAGGTTATTGTGTTGTAAATAAACAAGGCTCATTAGAACATTCTAAATGGTTATTTTCCATTAGGTAATTTTTTTTGGATAGAAAATGCTGAATGTGACATGAGGTCAGGTAGAGTACTATATCATCACGTGACTATGAGGATTTGGTCATTCGTGCTTTAACATCTTAGCACCTTCAAATTTAATTATGTTATGACCAGTTTATGCTGAATTTTTTTCCTTCAAAATATTGAATTCAAGTAATTGCTTTTTCTGGAAATACAACAGTGTTCTGATAAAAGCCATAAAGGTATTCAATGGAAACCTGGAATTATATTACTGTGATTCAACATAAGACTGTTGACACATCAACACTTTAATTGCTATAAAAGACACATCATCGCTTTCAGTTTTAGATCTCTTCGAGATTTGTACTGAATTTTATTCAGGACTTGATATTATTATGACTTGTGTCTGTGATTCTTTGATTATTTTGGGATTTAATTCGCAATGCCGTAAGGTTTTTTTTTCTTATTTTCAGTTTGTATTCTAGGAAAATAAATTATTTGTAACATTTTACAAAGCTTGTTGTCTTTTACTCTTTTCTGTTACTTATTTTAAGAGGATAGACACGTAACATCAGAAATCCATGCATTTATCTTTAGACATATTTGCCTTGCTAATATTATCTTGAGACCTACTATGACTTTAATCCTGAATTTTTGTATGACTTTGGTACTTTATTAGTCTATTTAATATGTATTTTGCCTTTTGCTTTGTCTTGAGACACTAGTAAATTGGGTCTCAAATTGTGAATGACCCATTTGTCTGCCTAGTTTATTTCGTAATTTCCTGTCCTAGTTTTTGCTTCGGAACACAAGGTGCCATAAGATTTGAATTTAAATATATTTCTCTTAAGTAATGTATTTCATATAATTTTAGGTTTTGCTCAGTTTTAAAATCAAACGTTGTTCAGCCCGGACTCCCCCATTTATGTGAAATCAAACGCCGTTCAGCCCGGACTACCCCATATTTTGAAATCAAACGCTGTTCAGCCAGTACTCACCCATGTTGTGAAATTAAATGCTGT